CTCCCTCCCTCTCTCTCTCTCTCTCTCTCTCCCTCTCTCCCTCTCCCTCCCTCTCTCAGTGCTTTTGTAATGCAGCTGCTCGCTATAGTTTTTATCAAACAGGAAGTCGTGCATTTGTGTCACAGGTCGTATTAATAGTTGTTAACCTGCGGAGACAGAGAAGAAGTGCAATGAAAGAAATGTTTGAAGTGTCGTAACAACGTCCTTTTGTAACTCAGATAGTTGGAAAAAAGGAAGTTTTCAGTAGAAAAGTGTCATTGTGGTTTCATGTTGAAATAAAGCAGAAACTTCAGTGAAGAAAACTGCAACAGCTCCGAGGCGAGACGTCGAAAACACACACCACCAAACTCGTATTTTACAGCGTCTTGTTTCTGTCGGTGGATGAAACAGTTTGTGACCGAGTCGATTCTCTGCTCTGATAGGTTCACTGACCTCGGCTGGCTGCAGGTGTATCTGTGCTGACGTCCTGAGATCAGGATGTTAGTGAAGGTGAAGCTGCTGCTCAGTCTGTGGTTTCAACACTTCAGTCTGAACTCAGCCATGATTCCTCCTGATGCTCGTTATAGAACATTAACTCTTTATTTTCAATCAATTCATGGAATGTCAATGTCTCCTCGACTCTGAGCTGCTGCGATCAAACAGGAAAAATCCTCCTGGTTTCAAACAAGACCGAACCAGACCGAACCAGACCGAACCAGACCAAACCAGATCAAACCAGACCGAACCAGACCGAACCAGACCAAACCAGATCAAACCAGACCGAACCAGACCAAACCAGACCAAACCAGACCAAACCAGACCAAACCAGACCAAACCAGACCGAACCGGATCAAACCAGACCGAACCGGATCAAACCTGACCGAACCAGACCGAACCGGATCAACCAGACCGAACCAGACCGAACCAGATCAAACCAGACCGAACCAGACCGAACCGGATCAAACCAGACCGAACCAGACCGAACCGGATCAAACCAGACCGAACCAGACCGAACCGGATCAAACCAGACCGAACCAGACCGAACCAGATCAAACCAGACCGAACCAGACCGAACCGGATCAAACCAGACCGAACCAGACCGAACCGGACCAAACCAGACCAAACCAGACCGAACCGGATCAAACCAGACCAAACCAGACCGAACCGGATCAAACAGGATCAAACCAGACCAAACCAGACCGAACCGGATCAAACAGATGCAGCGTCGAGAGGTTTTCAGCTCACACTGTGCAGCAGATCTGATCTGAGACCAGAGGCCAGTTTCACAAACAGTGGTGTGTTGGTCCAGATCAGTCTGATATCAGTCAGACTGTTTCACTAAAACACAGACGGACTCATTTTAAGACAGAAACATTAGACACCTAACCCCCAGACTAAGGCTCAACCCCATCTCTCCCCGTCTACCACTTAGCCCC